GAAAGGAGGCTTCTCGGACCAGCCGGATGACGGGCCTGGCGACTGAACATGGGCAGGAAACGTGAAAATAAATGGCCACTCGTACGTCCCTGGATCTAATTTTCCGCCATTGAGATGCGACAGAATTCTCTCTTTCTCAAACAGCACACATTTGCTGCGATAGCTGGCTGAAGGAGCCGCCGATCCCTTGACTTTCTGGACTTTGGCCTTGGTGCGCCCAGTGAAGCTCACCCGGATGTCGTCGATCTCGGTCGCTTGAGTACACTGGAACTTGACGTGACCGCTTATCGTTTCACCCCCCGAGTACCAGCGCTTCTGGTTGTTAAGATGTATGCTCAGAGGCATGGTGAATGATAGCGAAGAAAGGCGACGGACGTTTCTCAAATGCGTTGGGGGGAGAACAGCGTTGAAGGAAAATTGAAGAGTGAAGAGGGCTTCAGGGTCTTTATGGGGGCGAGGTCAGGCTTATTCAGTGGGCTACATCCAAGCTTTTGCCTCGAAAGTCAAACTGCATGGCTGTGAAGTAAACTTGAACGAATACGAACAGAATTTCCGTTTCGGGGAGAAAAGACACTCCCTCGGTCGGTTGAGTGGTGGGGCCTTTTCTTACACAATGCTTTGCTAACTATTTTTGGATCATGTTGGAACTGTAGTACTCGTACCAAACATTGGAGTTTAGATGCAGTTTCCCTATAGAATCATTCTGAGCTACCGCCTCGCCAGTCTGACTGAGAAAGTAATATAGTGTACTGTACACCTTGCGACGAATTATCGAAGCAGCAGTGCCTCTTTCCGATATCCGTTCAACTTCCCGAGTCGAACTACCGGGAATCTTACAATAACGAATCATTTGAATGCTATCTCCTTAGTCGGACTGCATTCCTCTAATACCTGGACTACTGTGTAGATAGACAATCCAGTCTTCTTTGTCTGTGCCTCTGTTTTCGTTGTTCTTTGTTCCTTTTTTTATTTCTGGAGCAGAAAGAAAGACTTTCCGGCAATGCTTTGAGCATATTGGCACCATGCACCTTTGTCCGATCAAAACAAAGAGATCACGGCTATTGAAGCTGTCTTGTCATTGGCTCATGCTTTCCTATATCAAGTTGCAAATCTGCCCCGTGGTCTTGGAATCATTAAACGTGCAATCACTCCCAAGATTAGAGGAACCTCCTTCTATTCACCAGGAGAAAAGCTACGACGACCGCAGCCTTGCACGTCTGAGATCATCATCGTCAAAGAGACTCGATAAATTCTGGTGATTGATCGCGGACTAGCTCAAGTGGTGAATTACTGGAAAAGGCAGATTGAGCACAGTCTAGAGCTTTCAACACATGCTCTACGCTGCCACATTCACTAGGAAGCTGCTTACTTTGCATCATCCGCCCAGGCTTCCTCTATCTTACGGATCGTCTCTCCGCTGCCTCGACCACCACCTTTGTTCCGTCCTTCTTTCATCTCTCTTTCATCATTTCTCCTCCTACCTCACCCCTCTCTATCCCTACCTCCTGAGTCTATCAGCATGCCTCGCGCCGACTTCTTGCGGGACGCTAGACAGGCCTCTCATCCTCAGTTGACTGGCTTCGAGCTTCGGCAAGATGACACCTTCAGTTTCACCTACAGTGATCCAGCTGGTCATCAAAGTTGTATCCAACTCCTCGTTCCAGGTAAGTTACATTCCTTGCCAATTCCGGTGTCCTGATCTCGGCTAACCAAGTGCTTCACAACTAGATCTGTCCGCATACCCTACTCAGCATGAGTACTTAATCTGGGGCGATGAAGCTATCTCCGATCCTGTTGCTCAGACAATTCAGTCTATCGGCTCTAAATACAATGGCCGACCTCTGAACGCACTTCTCCAAGGCTTCTTGGACTGCTTAACTGGTCAAAGCGACGACAATACTATGGATGGCAGCTCCGAGGGCGAGGGTTATGACTTCGACACCGATGGTGAGATGGACTTGGACACGGACCACGGTCCCGACTGGGACGAGGTCCATAAGCGCCTGCAAAAAGACCTTCAGGCTGCAAAACATTCCGGAATCAAAGTTGGAGTTCTGGGTGACATGCAAGGCCGCGTCATCGTGGTCACCTCTTGTCGTGTTGCTCGGCTGAACATCTCCAACGATGCGCTTCAACTGTGGAATGTCTCCCCATCCGACTATTTGGTTCTCCTTATCAAATACCCATACAAGTACTACGGCTTGGACGATAAATCTCGATTTAATCCGTTGCAGAAGCCGCAAATGTACGTTGGTCTTTGCGACTCGTATAAGCCCACGCTGGCGTCCACCCTGAAAGCTCTCCATCCCTCCGGACAAGAACTGAAGGATTCGAGCGGTACGAATCCAAATCTCACAGCAGATCCTGCTCTCGGGCAATTGAGATCCTCATTTGTCACGGAAATGCTTACGGATCTATTCAACGAACGGCTGCTGGACCTCATACAGCTTAGAATCGATCATGGCTACTCCTGGACAGGGGCCGAGCACTACTATGACACTCAACAAGGCACAAAGCCCGGCATTGAAGATGTTAGAGACCCAAAGTATTTTGTGGAAGAGGCCTGGAGTACCTGGACTCCCAGTTTTGTTCAAAAAGATGACCTTCGATGCAATGGGGACGAAAAGAGGCTGTCCTTACCTCGTATTGCGATGCAATATGCGCTCCGGCGCTTCACCCGTGCCAGCGAATTCTGTCTAGTATGTTACTGCAAGACCGCTGCCAGCTTCCAGGCACTGAACCCGTACGTTTGCTCGAAGCGGCTCTGTCTGTTCCAATATCTAGAATGTGGCAAGGGACCGAAGCTGGAGTGGCAGATTGTGCATCATCCTGAGGTTGTGGATCTACTCGTGTCCTTCGCCTACCGGCGTGCCATGGCAAAATCGCTGACTGACTGTCTCGACCTTCCTCTCAAAGTTCCCAATCCGAATCTGAATTCGAAACAGGCTGTTCAGGCGAGACTGGTTGGTGGCACACTCGTTCCGCAGGGACGACTCGAGTTAAAGGTCGGCGAGTGGGTTGTTCTTACAAGGAAGGTGAGAAACCAGAACAAAATAATAACTCCAATTCATTATTGTGTTCGCATGCACAACGATGATGGTTCCTACACTCTCTCAGGGCCTATCTACGAGGGCAAGGATAATGCGGAGCCCACAAAGTCCGGATCCCCAAGCGTGATGGTTACGCTATACAACAAAGATTTCGATAACTTAACACTGGAGGAGAAGCAGGGGATGCTCGTGAGATTACTCGATACGCTCCCGGGAGTCGCCTCGATGGTTGAGTTCATCAAAGGCAGTTCTAGCCATCGGACTCTCGACACGTGGAAAGAACGCATCTCCCCCGCCGCACTGTACCTTTTGCGATGGATCGTTTCGTCAAATCGATCCTGCATCATTTATGACAAAGACCCAGCGCACAAGGTTGCAGGCATGGAGGGTCACATGCAGTTTCGACTCGCTCAAGGGACCCCAGACAAGGAGCAGGAATTTGTGGAGGCGATTGAGCGAGAGGTCAAAGCGTCGAAGAAGCAATATCCCACTCTCTTTGCTTGGCATGGATCCCCAGTCAGCAGCTGGCATAGTATCCTTCGGCAAGGCCTACATTTTGAGCAATGCAGCAATGGGAGAAGTTTCGGGGATGGGGTGTATCTAGCCCGGGACTTCCGGCTCTCTGAGGGCTACTCTTTGAGGGATCGCTCCGACCAGGGGTCCTGGCCGTCGAGCAAGCTAGGGATTACGATGGCAATCTCATTGAACGAGGTTGTCAACTGTCCAGAGCAGTTCAAGTGCACATCGCCGTATGTGGTGCAGGAGATATCATGGATCATGCCTCGGTACCTTTTTGTGAAATGCTCCAGGCCCGTGGCGGGTACTAGCAGCCGCCACAGTCTACAAGACGTCTATGTGCAGGATCCCAAGCGAACAGCTCTCGGTCAGAATGATGTACCAGTCACAATTCCTCTATCCGGGGTACGGACTCATCTTTCTCAAGCACAGAGAACCTCAGTCGGTGGTGTTGGTGGTGGTCGCGAATTGGACACTGGCTATGAGAGCGACGCGACCCTCGATGAGGATCGCCGTCTGCTCGAAGAAAATGACGATGACAGTGACTGCGTGATGCTCGACCCCTTGGCGGTGAAGATGCTGCGCGTGTTGAGATCCGCCAACATCAAGCTATTGCCCCCTCCTACCGACGCCACCTCGCAGGCCACCACAAGACTGATGCGGGAGTTGGGAGCCACCGCAGCGCTCCAGGCGCGCGGCTCCTTGACTGAGCTCGGTTGGTACATCGATCCCGAGCAGGTTGACAATCCATACCAGTGGCTCGTGGCTCTGCACAGTTTCGATCCCAGCCTACCGTTGGCACGGGACCTGGCCGCCACCGAGGACAAGTGCATTCTCCTGGAGATCCGGTTCCCGCCCTCATTCCCGTACTCTCCCCCGTTCGTTCGCGTTGTCAGACCACGGTTTGTGCCACTCGCGGCCGGCGGAGGGGGCCATGTCACCGCCGGAGGCGCCATCTGTATGGACCTGCTTACCGGCTCCGGCTGGAATCCGCTGTATCGCATGGAGAGCGTCCTGTTGCAGGTGCGGCTCCTCATGTCGTCCAAGGATCCGTACCCGGCCCGCCTGGATGCTCGCCAGAAGCACGATTACTCCTGGTGCGAGGCCGTCAACGCATTCATCAGGATGTGTAGCATTCACAACTGGAAGGTGCCGGAAGACTTTGGAAAGATGCAAGCAGCATAGTGAGACTGCGTTCCCCTTCTATTTCGAACTAAGATAGTGAGGCAGAGAGACGGTGGTTAGTGTGTTGGATATTTTGAGCCCGATAAAGCAACGCTACAGATATGCATCCTTCACGGATGATTGCCCAGACGGACACAAGGCTACATGTATAGTACAGGTCAGTACTCAAAGCCATCCAACACAACCACCTAGTTATTATCTAGTTCGTTTCCTAGACCCAAGAATCAATCAGTAGATTCCATTAAAATCCTAATCCACGAGCCCAGTAATAGTAACATTAACATGCACCTTAGCATTCCTCCCTCGTGCCCCCTCCCCCTGCTTTCCAAAACTCACTAGCCCAACATCCGCTAACTCCGCCAATCCCATATCAAGACTCATTCCCACCACCCCGGCAGTGCGGTTCAGGGCCCAGAACTCGATCGCCAGCGGCAGCGTGTCCAGGACCTCGTTCAGCGTGTCCAGCGCATCGCCGTTGTTGGGGTCGGTGAGATCGATGTTCGAGAGCTTGGTGAGGTCAAGGGCGTTGAGGTTCAGGGTTGGGAGGAGGGAGAGGGCGCGGCGGTTGTTGTTCTGGGTTGGTTGGTACGCGGATTTCTGGGTGTGCTGCCCGTGAGCGTGAATGTGGGTATGAGTGTGGGTTGTTGGGGAGGCGGTTGCTTGGTGGAGGAAGGTGGTTGTTGTGGTGAGGAGGCTGAGGCCGAGGCTGAGGCTGAGGGGAGAGAGGAGGTGCATTGTCTTGTTTGTTTGGTGGGTTTGTGCTATGGGGCTGGGATTTGGACGGTGCTCTAGCTGTGAGTGCTATTACTGTAATCGTTTTGAGGTTAGATGGTTGATTCTCTGGGATGGATTGTGCAAGGGGCTCACGTTCAGAGCTGCCGCTATATTTGGTTGCTTTGTTCCAATAAAACTGAAAGAGTGGTTGCTTCTGTTGCTTTTCGAGATATAGACAGGGCGTTGAAGCTGAATAGGAGGGATTGATGAATTAGAAGTAACGAGCGACTGAATACTGTAACAACTGTAATGAGTGAGTTGATTTTCGATAGCAGAAAGCAAACAGTGACTGTTGGCACGAAGAAAGATTGCTGAGAAGAGCAATAAGCAGACAACTTGAGCAAGCAGCAGAGAAGCACGCATGGGCTGGGCTTGATGAAGCGAAAAGTCAGCACACTGGACCCGAGCTGTTCCCATTCTCAGAGTATAGATAGGGATCAACAGGGGAATGTACACTAAGTTGAGCTAGAGCAGGAAACGGATTTAGATCTGAGATCGTCGGGGTTCCACTTGCTGGGCTGTATATACTCGTACCTGGCTCTGCCATCGGGGCAGGACCGTGTGATATATTGTCGTAGTGCGTGTGCGGGTAACGCTTTGTTTGTTAGAGCTGTACCGTCTACGTATTCCGTTGGATGAGTCTATAACAATTTGAATGTCAAAGTAGACATCTTCTGTCTATGAATCTGAGTAGATGCTAATGAAAATGATGATAGGCGGGCTCGCTGGCTGGGATCTCGGCACGCAGTGGAGCGACCACCAATCGGGAGCAAATCAGCACCCGTGCGGGCTTCGGCATGGCAAAGTACGGGTCTGCTCCTCTGCTGCTCCATGGTGCCGCAGGAACTGGGTCCGCTCACGCGAACCTTGCCCAAGTGTCTTCGGATGGTGTGGCAGGTTTTGTTAGGGTTAGTTTGGGAAGCTGCGCGGGATATGCAGCGTACAAGGATAGAAGTGGCAGCGTACATGCACGATGGTGCTGCAGAGCATAGCAGTTGCCGAAGTGACAAAGGCGGAAGCTGGTTGATGAATTGATGACAGATATCTACACTTGTCGAATCGATATTGTAAGAAGATTGGAATGGAAAGACAGTACAACTCAGCATGGTCGAATGCTACACATTCGCATTAGGGTCAAGATCTCATTATGATGCACATAATGCATCTTCCAATCCTCGATGGTCTAACGGTCATGATTTCCGCTTGTCAATCCCACTCGGGAACAAGCGCGGGAGACCTGGGTTCGACTCCCAGTCGGGGAGATTTCTTTTTTGCTTTTGCCTGAGTGTCTTCAGAGGCTGATTCTTGTGCGTCTGCATGCTTGATGATTTCATCCCTCCTCTCCTCGGTTGAACCAGCCGGAATAAGGTTGTGTGGACCACATCGATTGGGTCAGCTACATATAGATACAGTCCCAGCAGTAGCGTCCGAGCATGTGCATAGCCTGCCTGTCAGCATGGATGTATGAATGCAATTCAGCGTTTGGCGCAGAAGCACCATTGATTTAACGAGCAATGACTCGGTCAGGGAAGAACAATACAGGACGAAGGAGATAGTTCCTATGGTTAATCCTATACTAAATCTACTACTAACCCAGAGCCAATACTTGAGCAGATTTAGCACATCTCATTGCGATGTCAACGAGCAACCTTGAAATCAAACCCCTGCATCCAACTGCTAGTTCCGCCAGACCTCTGATCCTTTCGCCCACATCTCTGGGTCTGCCACCAAAGGAAACAACCGAGACTGTCATGTCAGCAGGATACCCCCTGCCACGCAGAAGCGAAAACCTGAACCAAGCACTCAAGGGCTGACTTTGCAGCCTCCCTCCGAGAGCATTCCGGATCAGATGAGATGCAGCATTTTTATCCTCCAAAACGAGCCTTTCATCTGGACTAGCGAAGTTCAAAGTTCTGTGGGACAGTTTTCCTCGACCGGTCAGAACACGATTACACACTGTTCTCAAGTCCACCGACTCAATGCACTTGGACCATCCTTGTCGACCCTCCTCAGTCCCTATGTTCTCCGGCTCGTCAATCCATCGTCCTACCAGTGCTACAACTTCCGCGGTACTTAAGCACTCCCAGAGTCTACTCGAGGCCATTACAATGGAATCACCACTTCCAGGCTCAATCTCAACACTGGTCACAAGTGGCTCAGGGGTGAGTCGCAAGATAGTCAGTCTGGAAATCATCGGGGCATCATCATCCAAGTTATGAGCCCCAGGCAAATTTTGTGGACCTTTTAAGAGTCGGAGGGTGCTTTGAAGCGGCCAGGTTCCCGGCACATATGACCTTCTCCCCTTCACCTACTGCGACGACCCAGTACTGCGCGACAATTACCGGTTGATGCCACATGCAAAACACAATCTTGATGGTCGTAGACTAACAGCAAAGCACATCGCTGGGCGGGCTCCTCCTTGGAGTCACGCGTAGCCCCTGGAATAGAGAAGGTGGTGCGGTATGCAACTCAGGAGCCTTGAGCTGGCTGATTTCCTCCTGGGCTTGTTTCGCAGCCGAAAAAGGCGCGGCTGCTGGGGTGATATGTAAGTCAGGGGCCGTATGCTGAGGAAATTCTTGCCGAGGACGCAATAAGGTGGCCATCCGACTATTGTTCTCAGCCCTTAACCCACGCCGTATGGCTTGCCTCACTGATTCGGCGTCTGGTAATGGTTCCGTTGAGTACCCCTCATCCAGCTCACATGCTACAGAGGGAATCAATAGTTCCGAAAGATCATCGCGCAAGGGCACGTCGCTGCTCACCAGGTCACACAAACTGAGTCAGAGCGGTCTCTCAAAAGGCTGCTTACATGTGGTCGTTGTAGATGCCCCAAAAGTCTAGGGTGCGGCCGCACGATAGCCTCTGAGAGAACCCTCGATATGACTTCCATGGTTCACGCGATAGAGTTGAACAGTTAGCACCGCATGACACGAGCTGAGGACTTATGAGACGTGCTTGGTGAGCACGGAGTCTCTCGTCAGCTCTCCCTGGTTGATATGTAGTGGCAGTCTGTCGGAAGTCGGAACTTCGCGTTTTGGGCGGTTTTGCTCGCGTAGGCCTCTGATGCGTGTCTATAACCCGTTGCTGTCCTTTCGAAAATCAATATGTCAGCAGCCCACTACTGATTAACACACCCCCAATGACCAGTCTCCCTGCTGCAGATACTGGAATCTTCTGCCAGGCGGAAAGTATCCTGTGGACCCCCGAGCGACTGAATACCTTGGTTCGAAAAATGGAATCTGTCAACATCGCTGTTTCGAAGAGCAGAGCAAAGACAAAATAGAGAAGATAATTGATACCAGTAATAATGATGTCGATGGTTGTGACGCTTATGATGCTTCAGGCAAGGTCAGTGGATATTTACCGGACGGCAGGCTACAGTTGCACCTTCTGGAAGCTGCCATTTTGAACCTCATTGTGAGATATTGTGACTGGAAGCTCTATTGGTGATTAAATTCATTTCACGAAATCTGAAAGCGTAGTCAGTTAACAGAAACTCGTCGCATGGTATCTTGTAATAATACTATTCATTATAAGCGAAGTGGTATCCATGTTCTGTATACAGCTTCCGAAGTCAAAATCGGACTTGTATCGCAGGGACTGGATGCTGGATGCATTGCTTGCTGCATTTTCGGTGGCCTTGCTTCTATGAATCCGACACAAAGTCAGGCTAAAGAGCTCAGCCTCGTTAGGCGACTGTCTGATCGAGCAGCGCTCCCACGCACGCAACCATTTTGCATGGCTCGCTCGGGATATAGTGGAGGTCTTCGGAGTAAGGTTCAAAGAGCAAAGCCCCAATGCCAGATATGGGAAGTGCAGTACTTGGTCGGCGGTATATCTTTGCATGTGCGGGGTTGTCAGGAGATCAATCATGATTCCAAAACGTCCGCGTTCTTCAGTCACTGCCTTCATCTTCCTCCACGGGTGTAAGTTCAAGCTGGGTGCTCGGCCCAGCTGCATCACTCGGCCGCTGAGTATTCGAGCCCCTTCTTCTCCGGGCGCGCAGCTCCTGATCAGCCTGTGTGACTGCTCTCTCGCCGACGAACTTGTTACCCGGCCAAGTGTTCTTACACACCGGACAGACTTCAGCCTGCTGAGACCGGAAGAAGTGGCGCATGCAATGATCATGCAATCTTCCCAGACAATCTCGATCACCACACCTTTGACCCTATCCCCAGCGCCAAGTCAGCCTTCATCCCATGCCCCATCGTTACGGCGCGTAGCAGAGACGCAAAACAGAAACTCACCGCAGTGATCAGATCCTTGCACGCAGCACAGAACTTGATCTTCCGAATCCCCTCCGCCTCGTCGTTATATGTCGCAACCAACCACCCCCGCAGCTCTATCAAGCCCCGGGGACTGAGGCTATAAAACCCCTTGCCACTCTTCCCGAACCACCCTTCCTCGACCAACTGCTTCAGCAACGCCTCCGCCTGCGACATCGTCAACGACTGCACCACCCCGCCGACCGCCTGCGAGTCCGGCTGCTGCGTGGCACCCTGCGTCAGCGTCGGCTGCGACTGCAACCCAGACTCCCTCCTCTGGCTGCCGCCGTCCCCGGAAACCTTGGCCAGCTGCAACGCCTGCATGCCACTCACCGCCATCGCCTCGCAGCGGCGCGTGTTATGCGTCTCGAACATCGCATCCAGCAGCCGTTTCACGTAAGCAATCTCGTCCGCCGAGTACGTCGTCGCCAGTTGCGTCAGCGCGTCGCTCGTCGTGTTCACCAGCGCGTACACCCGCTCCGGCGGGGGCACGGCCGTCGTCTGGCTCGGGTCAACTTCTATCTGCGGCAGGGTACTGCGGATCTCGAGGTCGAAGGGCGAGATGGCGTTGTTGGCGGTCGCGATGTAGGATTGTAGTTCGTCCTCGGTGATTTCCTCGGGGGAGACGGGTTGTTTCTCTATCGAGGTGGGGACAGTCAGTATCGCTCCACTGGCTTAAAAGACAGTATAGTATGACTGGCTATACTTCGGAATTGGGACGAGGGTCTGTACCATGCGCTGAGAAGATCGCAGCTAATACGGGTTTGGCTTCCTCGAAGGTCATAGTCGAGCGGCCCATGAAGGCCTGGAGAAAGGCGCGGTTGGTGTCATTGTAATTGTAGGGGCCGGTTTCTCGGACCATCGTTATGAAAGAAGGTTGGGACAGCTTCTGAAAGAGTCTAGGTTCATGGAGGTATGGCGAAGGAATGGAAGTAGCGCTGTTTTATGTTCTTAGGACTAACAAAAGAAAATTGAGGGGACAAAGAACCGCGGAAGACGCGATGCGGCACGCGCTCCCCGCGTTCGGTAGTATTGATTTTGGGGGGAAGAAAGGCTACCCGCCCAAAGCCCCCATGGGTTTCTTTGTTGTAGTGAATACGGACAGGTTTGGGTCTATGGTATGATCATCTCATTCCAGATTAATGCACTAGCATCGCGATAAAGCTTAGACATCATGGTACCATGAAGAAAGACAACCAAGTCCAAAGCCAAAAAAAAAAGAATGGGAATCGAAAATACAAGTGACAATGTCATGATGAGGTTCAGACTTCCCCGATAAACGCCACAAATCGTTATACAGATGATGATTAAGAGAAATGGAAAGAAAGAAAAGAAGAGAAGAAGCGACGAATCCCAAAGCTCATGGACCCTTTTCCCCCACAATGAACAAGCACAACAACCTAGTATCTCCGCCGGGTGGGCTCCGGGCTGGGACTGCGACTGACACTCCGAGCATCGCGTCCCCGTTCCTTCAGCCACTTCTTCGTACTCAACCGCAACTCCCGATCCAGCTCATTACTGGGATCCTTGCGATGAATGAAATTGCAAAAGCCGCCACGGACGCAGCCTTCCCCGCTATTCAACCGACAGCACGCTTCCCGGAAATCCGTCACCGGTGATAACTCGCAGTATATCGGTCGCGCTGCGTACCATCGCGAGTTTAGCGCATCACAGGCGGCTTGTGCGTCTTCCTCGTACTTGAAACGGGCGTAGACGTTGCCAATCAAGTCTTTTGGCGAAAATCCATGCATTAGTCATTTGAGGCAGTCCAAGGGTTTGCGGAGGGAGGCTTGAGAAGGGGGCCAAACATACGGTCATTGTTGTTGTCGCAAACAACCAGCTCCTCCAACTCGCCGTACTTGCACATCTCACACCACACATCCTCATAGAATGCATCAAAGTGGTTCTGCAGCTGACTTGGGTTCATCTTGTTCTTCGGGTCGTAGGCGGGATTTTGATACATGTTCGGCATCAGGATGGTCTGCGAGTACGAGGGCTTGACATGCTTGCGCGAGCAGCGATCGCCGTGTCGACAGGCACCAATCTTGTAGTAGAAGGAGCAGTTGACCTTGTCTTGTTCTGTACCGAAAATGGAGGCGAGGTAGTTGGCCATGGTGTTATGTGATGCGCCGAGGCGATGATCCTGAGAATAGGTAGGATGGCTGGAGAGAAACGCGAGTAGATGCTCAAAAATCAAGCAAGGGAGTGTAAGGGTAAGTGAGAAAGATGAACGCGCGAGGGCACGGAGGCAGAGTTGTTTGTTCCTGAACGGTTTCCCCAGCTTCTCATTGAAGTTTCTGGACAGCTCGAGCTCGTGGCGGTGAGAATGACTAAGCCCGGAGAAGGTTCTGGTGCCTCAGGCTACAATCGCTGGGACCGACTATATAGACTGGCTTCGATATATTATACATACCTACTTGTAATAATGGCAAGTGCTCAGTTATATTTCTATTCTTTTTGTTCTACCCAGTCAGAAAAGGGCCTCAGAGTGAGGATTGCAAGGTGGCTGCGAATTGATTGCGAACACTTTCGTATAGTATTACATAGTTTTTAAGAGGTTAAAACTAGATTGCAACGTAGGGGTTAAAGATAGGTTGAGAATATACATAGAACCTCTGATGATGTTCCTAAATCTCAATATAGAATATCCCAAGATCATGTCTTCAATCTTCATAAACTAGTGCCAACAGTTCCAACAGGAATTAGATCAGTATAATATCAAATTAACTTCGACTCTCTTTCCACTTTGTTCACACCCAAGCCGCTCACATCCGCGGAAGGTTCAATACCCCTCACCATCTCAGCAATAACTTTGCCGGTTCCTAGACTAAGCGAAATGCCCCAGGGGCCGTGACCCGCCGCAACGTACACTCCTCCGGCGGCTTTAATGCTCTTTCCCAGCAGATTGTCGGTGATCTTCCCAACGAAAGGAGTTCCGCGCTCTGAAGCGGGCCGGAAGCACAGCCCTTCGCGGATGACTTCCAAGTCGTCAGTATTCGTGATCTCGTCGGTAGCCTCAGAGCTACCCTTCGCAAGTTTTCCAAGAAGACGGACAGAAACGGCTTTGAGCCTGTCCATCTCCTTCTGCTCCATCGACTTAAGGTAGTCGTCTGCTCTTTCCGGAAGGGGAATATCCCTCGTATTCAAGCCTGCGATATAGACCTCTGCTCCCTGTCGCGAGAACAATTCCGGGCAGAAGCCGCAGTTCGGGGGGTATGTTGTGAACAGGGCCTGGCTCCGGCCCTTGTATGTCGTTTGCTCGTGCTCCACGGTGTACCGTGGGGAGCGTAGAACCAGCGAGTAGCCAGCCAAGGGATAGATGGGGAGCGAAACTTGAGACGCGGGGAACAACTCCTGCAAGACTCGTTGTGTCCACGGACCGGCGCAGAGGATGAGGTTCGAGCAAGCGATTGTAGATTCAGCTTTCGTTTCAAGATTCACAGTCTTGACAGCCGTGATGGATCCATCTCTCCCTTGCAGAATAGACACAGCTTTTGCAGGATTGTGAACCTTGACTCCTCGTTCAACGCAAGCCTCTAGGAGAAATTTGCACAGTCTCAGGGGATCACTAATGACGTTAGGTCATAGTTTTGGTGGAAGTGAAAAGGGGATCACTTACACTTGAGCAGTATCATCATCCTCACTGATCTTCAGCGTCTCGGCCCCATGTTGCTTTGTCAACCACGACGGTGGCTCTGCAATGATTGGCTTCGATCCAGCTGCGGTTTCTGCCCGGCTGGTTCCCGTGCGAAGCCAATCATCCCCACGTTTGCCTCCCTTCTTCGCTGCAACTCCCAGGCTCAGTGCACTGCCTTTCATGTATCCCCATCTCTCTGCGCCGCCCTTCTCGGCAGCTAGAGACTCATGTAGCTTGAATGAAAGGTCACCCAATGGTGCGAGAGAAGGGGCAAACCAGTCCCTGGCCATAAATCCAGCAGCATAGCCGGACGAAGAACAAAAGAGCTCGGAGGAGGAGTCCACCACATGGATGTTCTCTGCAGATTGGCCTTCGGAGAGGTAATAGGCGATGGAGGTTCCAATGATTCCTCCTCCAAGAATGACTGTCGCCATGGTGAGAGATGAAGGTTTTGTATGATAGTTCACAATTGCAGTGTGTATGGGTCAAGTCAATAGCACTGGCTATAGAATTCTATCCCAGGAAATCGATCACTTTATGGAGAATGTCTCCATATAGATCTCGCGGGGAAACCCTAGTCTAGACCAGACCATTTGATAATCTATCGCAACGAAATGACCTTATCAGATACCAGACCGGCTGCTCACCAGGAACCGGCCCGGTGTACGACTATCGTCAATTGCCACAGCCAAATAAGTTAATGAGCATCAAATCAGATGGTGCAACACTGTGAGCATGGAGTTCCCCCGGGCCCCGACTCCGGCCTTGCGCTCCGGAGTGGAGTAACAAGGTTTGGAACCCGTTTTCCGCGGTAAATCATTCTGCCGTTTGCGCTCGGTGAAGTGACCAATGCTATTGCATGATCACGTTGTAGATATAGTAGATAACGCCAGGAATTCAGTTGCAGATTGATCAGGTAGGATAAATGGCAAACTGTAGTGCAAGTAGACAAGATATGTCTTGCGCTGCAGATGTTGTGCATAACCAATGCACCCGTATTCGGTCACTTGCCCACAAAGTTACGGCCGTCTGTCTATCACAAGCTACGGATGATTGAGTTACCAGGCATTGTCAAGTCTATCACTGTCATTGTTGCATGTGTATACATAAGGTACTCATAGTATAGTTCTTAGCCTGGGAGCCTTCCGCCGATTGCCAATGGGCCTGGTGGCAACTCGTCCTGGCCGTTCTAGGACTCTCATACATAGGGTACCGGTAGTACTAATAAACCCGCCTCTTGAATTGAGACCAGCAATCCTCAATTGAGTCAGGCAGGATACAATTGCCATTGAAGACACTCTACTTTACTGTAACTTTCGATGAAAGCCAGAAGATGAGAAATCTGCTCACGATCAGCATCCCCGAGGTCAAGTCATGTAACCCAGGTACGAATCAATGAGAGTAAGAAAGCAGAAGCGAGCCGCGGCGGGCAGAACAACAACCACCCCCACGTTCCCCTCAATTACATCACCGCCCCAGGGATCAGCTTTTTTTTCTCCCGCGGAGTGTCTGCTGCAGCTTCACTCCAATCAGCTTGGCACCCCGCACGTTCTTCTTGCCCTCCTCGTTTCACACCAACCTAATCAGATCCCCCAAGAGATGTCGAGCAAGACCATCATTGTCACCGGTGCCTCGAGAGGTAATTGATGCCCCCGCGAGCCAGTAGCTCCGTCCTGACTGACACATCATCTCTATTATAGGCATCGGCCTCGCCATTGCGAAGTACCTCCTCACTGCGCCGCAATCGCACAATGTCGTCGTGATCGCCCGTAGCGTGGAGCCCCTTCAGAAGCTCAAGGATCAGTATTCCCAGCAAGTCGCGGTCCTGAACGGCGACCTGTCCGACTTCTCCCTCGCACAAAAGTCAGTCGACCTGGCGCTCAAGACCTTTGGCCGTCTGGACGGCATGGTCCTCAACCACGGCATCCTCGGACAAGTCGGCAAGGTTGCGGAAGCCGACCCGGAACAGTGGAAGCAGGGATTCGACGTTAACTTCATGAGCTTGGTCGCATTTGTGAGTCGCTCGCATTAGAGCCTCGAAGCCCTGGGAGAAAGCTAACGCACAGCCCACGACAATCAGGTCAAGGCCGGGCTTCCAGCATTGCGGGAATCTAAGGGCAAGGTCATTTTCACCTCGTCGGGTGCCGCAGTGTCCGCCTACAGGGGATGGGGTCTCTACGGTGCTACCAAGGCCGCCATGAACCATCTTGCCCTGACCTTGGGCGAGGAGGAACCCGATGTCACCAGCATTTCCATCCGTCCCGGGATGGTCGACACCGAGATGCAGCGCCAATTGCGCGAGGACCATGCTACGACACTGGAGCCTCAGGTGCACGCCAAGTTCACAGGAGCCTACGAGAGCGGCAAGCTGCTCAAGGTGGAGCAACCAAGCCATGTCATAGCCAAGCTGGTGCTGGATGCCCCGAACTCGTTGACCGGGAAATTCTTGAAGTAAGTTGTGGGAAAAAAATCTGCCATTGTGTGAAATTCTAACTAACATGCCGTCTCCCAGCTGGAACGACGCCCTCCTGGAGAATTTCCAGGAATAGATCTACACTCGAATCCTGCGTCCACTTTAGAAAGCCAGTTAGCATATACTACTATCAAAGAAATTCATAAAACAAAAATCAAGATAGAGTTGTTTTGATCAGCCGAAAGATGAAAAGCAGGTACATTTTAGAAGCATTAGGTGTAGCACACCTTCATACTTAGCATGGAATGTAGGTTGTTCATCACATAACAGGGGGGTGTAAAAATGGAGAATTGCAAAAGCATACCTTAAGCTATTCTATTGTGGGAGATATTTTACAAAAGAGATTGTAAACAGAAAAAAATTGATTTCATTATATCAATATCTTTGGTATCGGATCTCAAATCGAAATTGCCTAAAAATTCTTCGAGTCAGTCAGTAAAGAATTCCTGAAGATTCTGAGCGATCACAAAATGCAGACTTTGCAAGGATATCAGTAGTCCGTTTGGCTTGGACAGTGTACGTCACCATAGAATGGTCTGATAGGGGCGACAACGATGTTCATCATAGTAAAATAGCAAGAGGGAGCGAAAGGAAAGACGAAGAATAAACATACCATTTATGTTAGTCCATTGTTGTTGTATTTGACCAACAAAGGTTGGCCGGAGCAAAAACTTGGAACAGGAAGCCAAAATCAAGTTTCCTGGTTGTGCGAAGGCACTGTGTGAATGAAGAAGCAAAGAAAAAAAATTTATGCTGCGGCGCCGAATAAAAACCTACGAGGGCGGTAGGATTCTGCCCAGACTGTTAGCCTAGTTCTTCCGTTCCGTGTTCGAGTCCCTCCGCGCCGCCGGGAATTTGGCCCTCACAGCTATTTAGACCATCCTAGTCCCCGCGCGCGGCGGGCGAGCCATACTTCTTGTGAAGAACAGCTTCACCGAGCGCGGGACTACCTCCTACCCACCCCTTTTTTTTCTCTTCCCTCTCACACATCATCTGTCGACATGTCGGATCGAGAGTTCAGTTGTAAGTGCTCAGCCTTACTCTCTTGGCGCAATACAAATACATGCTGACTCGTACAATCTACAGCAAACGACGACCTGTCGCTTCCCAAAGGTATGTGGTTTTAAGGGTCGCGTTGTTTGCGAGGGCGTGGGCGCAAATGGTTTCTTTGTCAACATCGGTCGCGTTCTTGGCCCGATGCAAGCGAATACGCGTTTAGAGACTAACCGCTACGGAATCTATAGCGACGGTCCAGAAAATCATCACCGAAATCCTCCCGCCCTCCTCCGGTCAAACTTTCTCCAAAGATGCCCGCGATCTGCTTATGGAATGCTGTGTCGAATTTATCACCTTGATCTCCTCCGAAGCCAACGACATCAGCGAGAAAGAGGCCAAGAAGACGATCGCCTGCGAACATGTCGAGCGCGCCCTGCGCGATCTCGGCTTCGGTGACTATATCGCCGATGTCCTGGCTGTTGCGGAAGAACACAAGGAACAGTTAAAGGTACGCATGCTCTCATGTCTTACTTGGGATCGTGCGAAAAAGAGAAAAAAACAAAAATAAAAACTGACGCGCCTTTCCATCGCTAGTCCCGAGAGAAAAAGCAGAGCAAGATGGAACAAAGCGGCTTGTCCGAGGAAGAGCTGCTCCGGCAGCAGCAGGAGTTGTTCCGCTCCGCGACCGAGAAATATCACGCCGCTCCGGAGTAAAAAGGCAACGAATTTGCATGAAACATCGTAATGTGGTTTGATCTCATGCTGGCCATAGGAGATCCAGGTTCAGGAGTTTGAGATTCCAGAGGACAGAAATTCGGAGTTTGTTGGTTTGGGTCGTGCTTGGGAAAAGGGTCGGTTATGTATTTCATGTCTCTCGAGGCTTCGCTAGTTTGGCTCATATAATCCTATGTTGCTTCTGGGAGACAAACCAGGAGTGCGCACTTTTCATTGTTTTACACCCTTGCCATATCCGAGTTGTAGACCATGCGGGGGGGGTGGTTTCAAAGAGCCTAAGAGCAACATCATATCGGTATGCAGAAGCCCCGATTGGTCGGTTCCAGAGACGCCGGGACAAAACCACAAATATCCTTCAGTCCAGGCTTGATATTGAGGCGAGTGACCGTATCAGGATTGCGCGGAATTTACTGCACTTTGTATAGATAGTCCGGTCAGTAAACGAAGCACAGACCACGCTCGACCGCGGCGCTAAGCCTCATTGGGTTCTCCGCCCAACCTCCGATTCTAGCGCGCAAAGCTCGCTGCTGCAAACACCGCGGAGAGTCAGTGCCGTGATTGCGACAGTCCCAGGCCTCGTCACTTTGGATCGCCCATCATGCCCCCTTTCAAGGATGAACACATCTTGGTACGTCCCAACCGCCTCCGCCCGTCTGGTCATATATCCGCCATCCGAATGAAGACTACACTTCCACCCGACCGAACTAACACCCATTCGTCCAGATAATTGCGCCAGGCTCGCAGGTCACCCTGGCGCAACTCGGCCTACCAGAATCATTCACACCTGCTCGGTTTCGCTTCCCCACGCGGATGTTCCCTGCTGAGAAGAAGGGTGAGTATGAACCATACAAGATCCGCGAGCGTCGGCACGAGGTCCCAGTCAGCAATGGTACCGAGGCGCCCAAGGAAGACGTGGAGATGAAGGATGCGGATTCCACAACTCAACAAGACACGGTGAAGACGGAGGCCACGACCGAGCAGCCTGAAGCCTCTGCCAATACAGAGCAGAAGAACGAGGAAGCACAGCCGACCGACGGCCAGCCGACCGACCCCGCAGCAGAGAAACCTACGACAACAGAGATCTACTACGAAGAGGACGTGACATCGGATGAAGGGGCGATCTATCCCATCGAGAATGGTCGCATCGTTGACTGGTCATGCTTCTTCGCTCTCCTAACCCATGTCCACAACACCCTCAGTCCTCCTTTCCACACTCCTATCATGCTCATCGCAGAACCGGCCTGGTCCGCACGGGACCGCGAGACGATTACTCAATTCGTCTTCGAGAAATTCAAGACGCCCGCTTTCTGCATGATGGACTCTGCGCTCGCCGTCTGCTACGGCTACGGTACATCAACAGCCACGGTGGTCGATGTCGGGAAGGATAAGGTCGATGTTACGGCTGTTACGGATTTCATTGTCAGCGAGCACGGAAGAGGTCTCGCATTAGAAGGCTGCGGTGGAGACTACATGACGGACCGCCTGGTTGAACTCCTAGGATCTAAGGGCTTCTCCAGGGAGATGTGCGAACAGCTAAAACGAAGCAACATCACCGAGCTTCTCCCTCCCGGTACGCCACTACCCGGAACCGCTGCAACTGCGCGACAGGGCGTCAACCCAGCCGCGTCTGCGTCCACAGGCGCACAAAATGGCAGCGCGAATGAGACTGTTCCCCGCGGTCCGGGTGACGGCACCCAGACCGGAGCTGAGGGCAATGGGGACGAGGAGGATGAGGGCGTTCTGGACGTCGCAGCTATCGTTAGCGGCAACACCAGCGAGTTCCTCGCCAACCGGGAGAAGGAAAAGGCGGAGAAGGCTTCGACCAAGAAGGGCAGTACGGATCAAAACGCCAAGCCTGTCCGTCTGCCCAATTCGAAGAAAGAAAAGGCTACATTCCAGTTCGAAGAGTATGTACGGATAGAGTCAGAAAAGGAGGCGACCAACGGCCCCGGTCGGTACATCCGCCAAACGCGAGAGATTGAGGTCGGTGTGGAGCGGTTCCTGGCGGCAACGCCCAAGCAGAATTCCGGCGAGCGCCTAACCAGCGGCCTCTTGGAGGACATCGCAACCCAAATTCACCATACGATCCTCGCTGTGCCGGATGCCACCAAGCGGAGTGAGCTTTGGGATTCATTGATTGTTGTTGGCAATGGCAGCAAGATCAAGGGTTTGTATTCCATCAGAAGTCAATGTGGCCCTCATACTAATCTTGTCTCATAGGATTCACGGCATCTCTGCTTGGCGCCATCACCCAAAAATACATCCTCTCTCCATCCGCCACTATGTTCACCTCCGAAATCCCTTCCAACTTCTCCACCCCTCTTCCGACAGGAGGAACCAACACTCCTGCCCCCTCTGGCCAGCCTGGTCCGATGAACCACCCTGCTGGTCACGGTGTCAATCCTCTCCTCGTCGCTGCCACACACTCCAACAACCCGGCGTCCTCCAGCATGCCCCCCGGAACTCCATTGATGGATCCCACATCGATGTCGCACCACCACCGGTCCACAGGGCACTCCCAAACCCCGACTTCGGTCAAGACGCTGCGACCTCCGGAGTACTTTTCCGAATGGAAAGAGCAAGCCAACACCAACGCACCCGGGGCAGCTGGTCCTGGCGGTCCCGGCGTGGCGAGTGGTGGCCACGGTATGGAGGAGGCGGTCTTCCTTGGGGCCCAGGTCGCATCCAAGGTCGTGTTCGTGCTCGACCAGGGCCTCAGCAAGGGCTTCATGACCCGGGTAGAGTATAACGAGAACGGCCCGTCCGCGATTCATGATTATGTCATGTGATAGCCCTATGAATTTGTCTCGGAAAGGGAGTTTTTTTTATACCTGAAATACTCGAATAATTGTTTTTCACCGAGGGTTTTCTGTACCTTTACTACATGACTAGCGTCTTGACTTGTGAAAATTAGAGAGAGAGAAAAAAAAAAGACAAGAACAGGAAGGCTATCATCACTCAAGCTACGGAGATTGAGGCTGTAGTTTGATCTGATCCAACCCACGATTCAGGGTAAAGTGTATGTACAAGGGTGCTTGCAAGGCACCAAAATGGGGCATCGTAAACATTCAAGCTCAAGATTTGACGAGTTTTCGTATGCCTGGTCTAGCCTTTGGTTTGGCCCTCCAACAGATGAAAGCAAAAGGTTAGATAGAATCCACACTATTAGTACGGGTATATCCGTATCAGTCCAACACTTGATACTTCGACCACAGCCGCTCCAAAACAACTATGTACATGCATACAACATCCTCTCCTCTCAATTCATATGAAGAAAAACGAACCCACCCCCCCCCCCCTCTCCCAAAAAAAATCCAAAACCCAATGGGCCTACCTAAGCCCCCGACGGACCCAGATAAACATCCACCTCAATCTCCAGATTCTGGCCCTCGAACGGCAACGCCTCGATCCCCAGCATCGTCCACGTCGGCTGGTGCCCGGGACACCACTTGCGGACCTCGTCCACCATCAGCCCGATGATCGTCTCCCGGGTTTGGGGAAGGTTAACGTGGTAGGTGCGCAACTTGGTGACCAGCTCCCAGCCGGTGGCCACCTGGGCGCGCAGCTCCGGCCGGGCCCGCTCCAGCGCGTACAGGATCACCTCGTTGATGTTGGCGAAGGCCTGGGCGACTTCTTCTTCGAGGGTGGGCGGGATGGTCGTGGAGGTGGGCGACATTCCGGCTTTGGGGGGGGAGGGTTAGTTTGGCTTGGGTTCGGGAGTGGATGGGAGGAGGTATGTGGGGTGAATGACAAGGTTAAGTTGGAATTGGAACTGACTCTGTCCGGCAATCTCCATTCTGTCGCCGGCAATGCAGGCTTCGGAGAAGCCATATTCGTCTTGGAAGTGTTGGCCGCGGCCGGGACGGGAGTAGCTGGGGAGTTTGGGGGGCATGATGGGTGGTTTGGGAGAATAGGAGACTCTAATGACGAGGTCTAGGGTTGAGCTTGAATATTATGGGAGACTATTGGGGAGAGTATGGGGGAGTAAGATGGGAGACGGTGTTTACATGGGTTCATAATCGACTTGGGAGAGGGGAAGGCTAGTGGGGGGTTAATAGTGTTAGGTTGGTACAGTCAGAGATGCTAATTTAGGAGGTGACATGGGTGTAGGTATGGATCAGATTGCCAGGGGCATTGAGTGATGCTTGGTGAACTTCAGGCTTGAAGTTGTCTGGTCAGCTCATTTTTCTGCTACCGGTAGTAGCACTAGAGACTTCCAGTGTCGTCCAAATTGGCTCCCATTTTCACTTGCACCCAGTAGAGGTCAATATGTCAAAGTAGCAAGTGACAAGGGAAGAATAACTGTAATGAGGCTTTGGAGCATGTTAGAGCTCCACAGATGATAATATAACATGCAGGACAGACCAATCTCAGTGCTTGTCTTATGCTCATTGTAACATTGCGAGCTGAACTACAGCCAATAGCCTACTCCTGCTTAGCCGGGATAGCCATGTCGGTCACGTGGATCACTTATCTAATCCTGCCTCGTCGCCACCCGTTCCTGGGGCGGGCGGGCTTATCTTGCGGCGAGACACTCATCCTCTTCCCGACAACCACTTATTCTTTCCTAACTATCATCACATCGTCACAATGCCGCGCGCAGAGGCTGGAAGTACGAAAGCGATCAGTAACAAGATCAAGCAGAAGGGTTTGGGCAGATTGCGATGGTACTGCCAAGCATGTGAGAGACAGGCAAGCGATCCCCGTTCACTCTACTCAGGTAGACTATACTGACTCTGACTGTTCCAGATGAGAGACGAGAACGGCTTCAAATGCCACGTTCAGTCCGAAAGCCACGTCCGTCAGGTGCTGCTCATCGGCGAGGATCCGAAGAAATACATCGAAGACTACAGCAAGCAGTTCATCGATAATTTCCTCAGTCTTCTGAGAACGACGCACGGAGAGAAGGAGGTCAACGCGAATCAGTTCTACCAACAGATTATTGCAGATAAAACGGTGAGTTTTTCCTTGAAGGGGTGGAAGACTATCGGGGTGGGGTGCTAACAATTTGGGCCAGCATATTCACATGAACGCTACGAAATGGAAGAGCTTGTCGCAGTTCATCGCGCACCTCGGTCGCGAGGGTCTTTGTCGAGTACAGGAATCTGAAAAGGGGCTGTTTGTCGCGTACATTGATCGAAGTCCGGATACAATGCGCCGCCGCGAGGCGCTGGCGAAGAAGGAGCGGCAGGATAAGGGCGACGAGGAGCGGGAGCAGCAGCAGATCCAGGAGCAGATCGAGCGCGCGCGTCAAGTCGCCGCAAAGGAGGATGAGATTGATCCGGAGGTTAGAAACCTGCAGCGGAAGGAGGGCGAGAAAGTGAAGCTGAATATCGGGTTTGGAGCGAAAACAAATGGGGACGCGAAGGCCGAGTCACCGGCAACGGCCACTCCGGCCGAAGAAAAGGACCCCAGTGCCTCGTCGGCTTCTCCGGAGACCTCCGCGGCTGCTCCGACGGCGGCGGCGCCGAAGGTGTCGTTGTCTTTCGGAGGTGGCAGCAACAAGCCGAAGAATGTGTTTGCGACGGCGGTGAAGAAGAACCCTCTCGCAGGGAAGAAGGGTCCCGTGAAGGAGGCGCCCAGAAAGATGACGGAGCAGGAGCGTATCATGAAGCAGGAGATGGAAGCAATGGAGCGCAAGCGTATGCGCGGGGCATCCGGTTTCCCGGATGCTAAGCGCCCGAAGATCTCTTGAACGCAGGGCGGTCTGCTACTATGACTGGGTTAAGTTGGAACTTGAAATCCTCTCACATCTCTCTCCGCTGCCGCGCCTGGACACCAATTTCACGCGAGACCATCGGTCCTCGTCCTCTGGCTTGTCTGGGTCTCTACGTCGCGAGGGCTTCTGCTTCATTGGTGTCAGGATCTTGCAGGAGCGCTCAATCCATCGCCGCGGGAGACCCGGACGGCATCTCCGCGCTATGCGCATCTGATGCGCTACTAGACAGCAGCTCCAGGCGAGAGCGACGGGTGTCTCCAAGCGAGAGCGACTGGTGTCCCCTTTCGATCAGGACTTCTCGACCATGGCCTCGAGGAATAAAGGGATTGGGGTGGAGGAACATTTCGATCCGGGGGGCGGTAGATGTCCCTTGATAGCTTAATTTCAATCATCTACCTATGCTACCGGGCGGGTAAAATTTATTATGTATTCTTGTCGACGTTCTTGTGTTATGTTGTCACGTGATTGGTGGCTACTTCCCTTGCCATCTATCAGTTGATTCTCTGCATCAACCAATGTGGTTCAAAGCACCGATCCATTTATGAGGCATCTGGTGGTAACTTCGCCTCGTTGGTATATCTTGTCTGTGCCGCATACGATGGAATATTATTGTGGTTGCCATGCTCGTATATTCTTCCATGGTCCCACCTTGTGAGCATGACATCCCTAGATGAGGTAGGAATATATAACCCAACATGCAGCCCACCAACCACCAACCACCACAATATTCAATCCTAGACAAAACCACCGATAACCCACCCACAGGGTCACTACTCAAAGATTGCAGCTTCTGATTAAGTACACAACATAGCCCAGTGCATTCACCAGCACAGTACACATCCGAACACTCGAAACTGCAAGTCAAGAAGATGTTTCGATTATGCTAGTGACATCAAAACATAAACGCAAACATTGAGTCAGAAAACATAACAAGCCCGGGTGGTCTAGTGGTATGATTCTCGCTTAGGGATTCCAAACCCAAGCATATCTGCGAGAGGTCCCGCGTTCGATCCGCGGCTCGGGCCTTGATTACCTTTTTTATGCTTGCCCTACTAGCCTCATTGATCGCGTCTTGAGGTTTTTTTTTCCCCCTTCGTATCATTGATTCGCCTCCTCTTATCCCAACCCACACCCACAAATACGTGATTAAAGGCATGGTATGGTGGCTGTACACCAACGTGCGCCCGCCCTTCACTCGACTAGAAAGGATGACAACACCTCGAACCGGGTTTAGACCATACGAGATACAAGATGAACTGCTACCTTCCTTTACAGCCTGGCTCTATCCTTTTCGATAGATTACTGGATCACCCGGTATCTCAACCTCTGAGGGGATCATACATCAAACTGAATATTATGATTAATTGCAATGAGGTTATGTATGTCTTCTGTATGTACGTCGTTCGCGTGCCTGGCATCTAACCGAGCACATAACGATAGAAGGGACACGAGCAGGAAGAAGAAATAAGACGGCGAAAAGGATACTAGATATGCAAAAAACCAACCCGTCATTTACGTAGCGTAGCTCGTCTAGCTCCGATGTCGGCCAGACTGACCACCAGAAAGACTCATTAGCTCTAGGCCCCTAGGGTGCCTCGACAACTAGAAGCGGGCTAACGTGGCCTTGTCGCGTGCTGTCAGCGACCGCTTGCTCGCGGTGCTCGCCTCGGCAGTAGAGTTGCCGTTCAAGATCACCCACTCGGCCACGGTTGCACCCTTAGTTGTGTTCGCACTTGCCTGGTTACCTGCTATCAACAGGGTGGCGAATCGTGCACCGCGAACAGGCTCACTCAGAGTGATAGTCGTGGTGTTGCCACTAGGGATAGAGACAGTGTTGGCCTTTTCGATAGCGGCGCTGTTGTAGGGACTCGACTGGGTCACATCGGACAGCTGGGCAATGAGACGGTAAGACGAGGTGGAGTTGCCGGAAGCAGCGAAGAACTGTGCAGGCCGCGTGATGGGCGCATCGTGGAAGATGATGCTTAGATTCTTGGGGGGAGACTGGTACCAGTCAAAGTAGAAACCAGTTACACTGTCGGCGGATTGCGTGTTGACTGTAGAAAGGGTCACGGTGATCGAAGACAGATTTCCAGAAGAAGGTTGCCAACGAGTCGAGGTGGCACCATCAACGGCGGAAATAGGGAACTGACCAGGCTCATAAGCGTCAGGCGAGTAAACCGGATGGCACTGAACCTGGTTGCCCGGAGTGGTGTTTATGGACCCAATCTGACGGTTAGGGATTGTCAAAGACCCGAAAAGAGGAAGAGTGTAGCTAGCCGTGGTGTCGCTCGTAGACAGGCCGACCTGGACGGTGATACCGGTGCTGTTGAAGCGAACATCGGCCGAAGCCAGAGGTGTCACAGAAGAGGAGCGCTGCAGAGTGGTGTGGGTGTAGTTTGACCAGGCGGAAATTGGCCAACCGCGCCAGTAGAATGTCCGGTAGGTGATATGCGGGATCTGGGGTGGAGGGTTGGGATCCACGTGGAGGATATCATCCGGCAACAGACGCAGCCCCAGATAACCGAATAGCACGACCTGGTTAGCACCACCGTGTCCAGTCAGGAATGGGAACGCCGGATGAGTGCCACCGTTAATACTGGCATCATCGATCATCTGCTCAGAGAGCTGATACCAAGGGCCTCGTGAGTAGGGCGCATAGGAATATTGATGGTAGGTGTAGGCGGAGCAGCCAGACGGAGAAACATCACTGGCGGCGATAGAGAAGATAGCATAAGTCATAGCTGGGCCATCGGCGGATTGCTTGTTCGCATACTGCACCAGTTAGCATACCCCAAAATGGCATGGTAAGAGACCACTTACGTAGTCGAGGTCCGTCAGCGAATTCTCGGTGGTATAATTGTCAGACTCGTAGGCAAGGGGAAACGTGTTGAGTACAATATCAGCCTGCTTTACAACGGCCGATCCATTCATCGAAGTGTACTCCAAGGTTACACCATTCTCGCGTAGTATCAAAACATTCTCCGCAATCTCATCCCAGGTCTCATTTACCTCCAGCCCAAATTGCTTGCGAAACTGGTTGGCATACTTCAGGGTCTCGGCAATAAGTGGCATGGTATAGCCACCGGCATCGATTGAGTTGGCGTACTCGTCCTAAAGGAATCAGCTGAAATTCGTATGATGTATCTTGCAGACTTACCGGATCGGTCATATTAGTCAATGTGAATGCTGACCCGTTTCGCTGAACAAGGTCTCCGTAGAGCGTGGCTACCGAATCGTAAATCGGGAAAAGATAATGGCGAAACCATTCCGTGTCACCACTCGTCACCCATTGATTGATCATTGCCAGACCAATGTCGCCATTCAGATGGTACTGGTAATCCCAGCACGGTCCCGTAGCAGTACAATTTCCGAATCGACCGCTCGTCCACGGATAGATAGCCGCAGAAGAACTGAAGGAGGTCTGGTTCTGTGAGCCTGCAAACGCAGTCTTGACATTGGCCTCGGCTTGATAGTGCAAGGCAATGCGGTAGTTGGTGTAGCGTTGTGCTGACTCGGGATGCGACGTCACCAGTCCAGGTTGCATCCACAGATCCGCATCCCAAAAGATCTGGCCAGCATAGGAGTCCGAGGTCAGGCCACCGACAGCGCAACTGTCAATGTTGACAGGCATTCCACCCGTGGTTGCCAGTGTGTTAGGACCTGCGGTGTTCTGCAGCAGATAATACGTGTTGGTAACAGCAATAATGGCCGAGTCAATGATGTGGCGGTCCGCAGGTAGCTTGCCAGTGATAGGGTCATTGAAACGATCGACAGCGCTCTCATGCAGAATCTCCGCCCATTCTGCGACGTGCGATTGTAGCGAGCGGGAGTAGCCCAGAGCCAGCCCGGCTTGAGCAGCAAGCTTGGCGGTTTCGCGGGTCGCCAGGAAATAGTCTGTGGAGGCTGCGCCAACGAACTTGGTGACGCGGACGGCCTCATTGGCAGTGAAACGAACGTTGACTGCCTGAGCAATGGAGGAGTCATTCGTGTGTACGTAGGGCTTATTGGTGACGAGCGTTCGAGAAGACAGATCGACATTGTCCGAGGCATCCAGAGTGGCGTAGATATATGCAGTGACATTGCTTACACCCCATGGCCGCACAGCAGAAAAGATGGCTCCTTCGTCCTCGCCCGATTCGACAAAGTCGGTGCGGACAGCCGAATATCCATCCAACACGTTGACAACCGTTGCGTTTCCATCGGTTGAAGGTACAATTTCCAAGTCTACCACAGCCTGGTTGACACTCAGCTTATGCGCGAAGAGCCGATAAGTGATAGCATAGGATCCTTTGTCGCCGGCAGGGGTCCAGGTATAGGACCAGGACAAGACACCAGCCTTGTAATCAAAGGTTGACTGAAAGTTAGTGATAGTCCGATTGTCAACTCCTGCATCAAGGTAAGTGTCGTCACCCAGGTCGAGGATTAAGCCACTCCAGTGTGGAACGCCGCTGATAACACTATCGCTGCCATACTGAGACAACCAGGGGAAATTGGACTTATTTGTCAATGGCTGACGGTCCCAGAAGCCAGCAATGGTCGCAAAGGACTGGCGACGGGAGTACAGTGGCCATCCGCTGATCACATCACCGTTCTCCTCCGAGTCCATTTCGAAGAAGGGTCCTACATTGGCGACATTGATGCCTATGTAACCATTGGCGATCGAGCCTCGAGATTGAAATTGACCCTGGTCGACGGTAGTAGTCGTGAGACGCCAATTGTCGTCGTCCCAGGTGACACCCGCGAACCGGGTTGGGTAAACACCGGAAGCATTATTGCTCGATGGCTGAACCAAGTCACGGCCACCGTAACGATGGAGAGCGGAGGCAACACGAGCCTGTCGATGGGGGGCTCCCTCAACAGCAGCAGGGAGAGCCAATCCCAAAGACAATAAGTTCACCAGCGACTGGGTTCATTAGTTTCCTAGCTCGGAAGGGAGTGTGTGTCTTTGGTATCTGTGGGGTAAATACCTTGAGCTG